CGGACGTTAAACATGGGTGACAGGTCATGCCCTACCCGCACACAGGCTTTACAGTCACAGTAAAGAGACTGCACAGCCCTTAGCAATCGACCATCCACACCATACCCCGGAAACAGTTCCCACATTTTCTTCCTTACAACCTTATGAAATGCTTTCTCAAGATCCACAAAAGCACAGAAAATCTTCTGGTTAGCAGCCAGAAGCTTTTCCGTGATCATGCGGAGAGAAACAACATTTGATCCGTGCATCCTCTTCCAGGTCTAAATCCGCATTGTGCCTCCCATAGAAATCTTTCCGATTTCTCTTGCATCCTACCTGTCAAAACCTTCGAGTAAACTTTACTTGCTAAACTGGTCAAGCAGATCGCCCGATAGCACCCGCAGTCAAAATGTGAACCTTTACCTTTATATAAAGGCACAATGACCGCGGATCGCCAATCATCCGGGATATCCCCCGTCCGCCAGCACAAATTGCACGGCAGATGAAAGCTGTCCCAGACGCGAGGCCCACCATACTTGACCATTTCAGCAGTAACTCTGTCTAGTCCCGCAGCCTTACCACATTTCAAACTTCGAATCGCACGTTCAATCTCTTTCATACTGATGACCTCAGTGTCATCGAGGCCCGGGTCTGGCGTACCAGTCACGGCGTCATCCCCGGATCCCTCACTAAGATCATCACACGCATACATTTCTCTATAAAATTCGCTCCATCGCTGCATGACGTCCGATTTTTCTGAGAGGACGTCATTAGTTCTCGAAAGCACTTTGTTCATTCTTAAGGCCGTCGCACCACTTCGGGTCCTTCCAACCTCTTTCCAGAAGAGTTTGGAGTTCTCCTTAAAGTTGTGTGACAACCTTTCGTCCGCTTCCATTCTACACCTTTCACGCACTTCCTCAATCAATGCTTTCGTGTGAACTTTCTGCAGCCTATATCTTTCTTTCATCTTCTCTCTCATATCCTTATCATTACTAGATGCCAATTAGTCTAACCATGCTTTCTTCTTCTTATTTACAGCTTCTTTCACTTCATCATTCCACCATGCATCTCTTCTTTTACTACTGCCTCTTTTTATTGTTCCACACACTTCTTCCGCTGCACTTACCATTCCATCCCTAAGGTTCTGCCATGTTCTTTCTACACATTCTTTTCTGCCATCGATGGTATCAAGCTTTTCGGTTACCCTCGCATGATATTTGTCCCTAGTATCCGATTCCTGAAGCTTCCAGCTTCGGATGCGACAGACCGACTGTGGTTCTGTTACTGCCGTCCGGTAGCGCCAACCCGCGAACAGACCCCTAAATCTAGTAATCACTAGATAGTGATCCGTTCCCAGGTCAGCACCCCTGAACACTCGCGTATCCATCATCTGTTTTCGCAGTCGGTCATCCACCAGGAACAAATTTATCATACTTCTCTCATTCTTTCGTTCTCTAGTATACATATGGATTTTCTTGTGATTAAACATAGTGTTTGTCACAAGAAGACCCTTTTCCTTGCATACCGCCAGTATAAGCTTGCCAGCATCATTAACCCTTTTATCGCCAAACTTTCCAAGTACCGACTCGTACCCTGGTCGAGCGGTACTAACCCATCCATTCAAATCACCATATACAACAATTCTTTCGTTTCCCCTAGCCAAATCTAGAACTTCTCTTACATTCTCCCAAAACTCCTCCAGCTCAGCCCTGGACGACGAAGCTACCGGCGCATAAACAGCCAAAAGGAATAACTTCGTCAGTCCCAATTTAAAGCGAACCCAGAGAAGTCTTGAGTTCACAACCTTATATTCAGTCATAACATCGACCAACCGAGAAGACAGCAGCACCCCCACTCCCTGGGAGGCGTTCTCACTCTCCGGGACTCCGGACCATAGAGCTAACGCCCCGCCAGGGAGCTCTTCAGTACCACTGCCCTTCCGTTTGGTCTCCGACATACACACGACATCTAATTCTCTTTCTTTCATTATTTCGATCAACTCATTCGTCTTATCTCTCATGCCTCCTCTAACATTCCACGTGCCAACTGCACTCTGTCCTCCACCTTCCGCCGTGTCGGGCTGTGCGTGACGGGTGGCGGTCCCCATCGCCGCTTTGCGCGCTGCATTCCACACCAACGGCGACGAGCTGGTGTGCGTCGCCTTGGGGGGACGCCCTAACCCTTGTTGGCATGGGTGCGCAGCTGAGTAGAATTGCAGCCCTGAAAAGGGCTGACAGGGGTCGCGACGAGCACGCTTCTACAATGATAAAATAAATATAAGAATTTAATATAAAATGCTCTTATTTTAACCTAAACAAACATATTTCTAAATAAAATGTAATAATATTTATCTTATGGAATTCACAAATCTTCAATTTACGCAATATTTAGTCTAGTGTACGGATTGCAGTACAGCTCAGTTGAACATAGTCAATATTCGGAATGCGATATCTAGTGCGTACTATATATTATATATCGATTGTTACAGGTTACAGCCTATTAAAGTCCACAGCTAAACTCCTCCTCCTCCTCCTCCCCCATAGATTGCCTCAAAGGGGTAATTACCATAGTTGCCACGCTTGGCAAGCGGGTTGGCAGCGGCAGTTTTTTAATTTTAGTCGTTTTAAGGAAGACGCTGCTGCTCATTTCCCGATTTGTTTCCCTCCGTCGCACGGGATGTTATACATAGGCTGCACTAAAAGTATCGGGAATGGAATATTTCCACTGTTCCTGTCATATTAAAATCTTTTTAATTGAAAAGTCCTTGGTTTTAAAAATCGAATACCATTTATTTATTTAAAAAAAGATTCTCGGTCTTGTCACAAGGTTTTGTCAAACTTGTTTAGTCGTTGAGAAAATGGAATTGACTCGAGAAAATTCAAGAGCGATGATTTATTATAACTTTCGAAGTGGTTTAACACAAAAACAGTGTGTTGACCGGATGATTTCTGCATTTGGTGATGAAGCCCCATCCAAAACCACAATTTATCGCTGGTTTGCTGAATTTCAACGTGGACGTGTCAAGCTCAGTGATGATCCCCGTCAAGGTCGTCCAAAAACTGCAGTCACCCAAGAAACCGTTGATACTGTGCGTAAACTGATTGAGTAAGATCGACATGTGACATACCGCGAAATTCAGGCAACTTTAGACATTGGCATGAGTCGAATACAAATAATCTTGCATGAACAATCAGGTGTAAAAAGTTGTTTTCCCGATGGATACCGCATTCGCTCTATGAAGAGCAAAAAGCGGCTCGCGTTACTTGGTGCGTCAGAACTCTCGAAAGATTCCACGCAGGATCCTCAAATGCTGTATACAACATCGTATCAGGTGACGAATCCTGGATATACGCGTACGAACCCGAAACAAAAAACCAGTCACGAGTTTGGGTATTCGAAAAGAGGTTAAAGCCAACAAAAATTGTTCGTTCACGGAGTGTTGCAAAAAAAATGGTGGCCACGTTTGTCTCCAAAACCGGCCATGTAACGACTATTCCTCTTGAGGGACAAAGAACGGTTAATGCAGAATGGTATGCTAGCATTTGTTTGCCACAGGTCGTTTCTGAACTCCGTAAAGAGAACTGCAACCGCCGCATCATCCTGCATCACGACAATGCGAGTTCTCACACCGCACACAGAACAAAAGAGTTTTTAGAGCAAGAAAACATAGAATTATTAGACCATCCGCCGTATAGCCCCGACCTAAGCCCTAATGATTTCAATATTTTTTTTTTTATAGGATCGGGTGACAAACGAGCACGCAGGCCACCTGATGGTAAGTGGTTACTGTGACCCATAGACATCTACATCTATCCTCAATAAAGACTCAAGATGCAGATGCGTTGTCACCCGTGAGGACTAAGATGGAATGCCTCTTTGCCAGTAAAAAGGGTCTCCGGTTCTCTACACTCACCATACGAAACACAGCAGCGTTAAGCTGCTATTTTACGCTGGTTTTGTGTGAGAGCGTGGTCCTTCCCCGGTCGAGCCGACCCATTCGTGCTACAACCATAATATAGCTGCAGCATGGCTCTACCACGTACCAAAAATAAAAAAATAAAATATAAATACTTTCCCTAAAATAAAGAATAAATTGCGTGGACAGAGATTTTCATCACCTGCAGAAGCTGTGGACGCCTACAAAACGGCCATTTTGGAGACCCCAACTTCCGAATGGAATGGTTGCTTCAATGATTGGTTCCATCGTATGGAAAAATGTGTCAAATTTCGCGGAGAATACTTCGAAAAGCAATAAATACATTTTTAAATAGTAATGTTGTGTCACTTCCTTGATTCCCGAAATTTTCAGTGCCGCCCTCGTACATATTGGCAATGATTTTATCTTAAAGTTTAAATAGAAATCTATGATATACCAATTATTCAGATTTCGAGAAACTAAATAATTGTTTGGATTTCTTTGGTTAAAACTTATAAAATTTTGTACTTTCTCTCTTCTTTCTTCTTTCTACCTTTTTTACTTTGTGATACAGGTTTGTTAATTTAAAATATAGCGCGCTAAGTTGGAATTTCTAACTATCCAATGAAAAAAATCGCAATTTGTATAAGCCAATCACAGAGCCTGTATGTGGTGTGACTTCGGTGGGACGCGCCTAGCCGTTGTCCCAATATTCGAATGGAATGTACTTTCATCGTATAAATAGGAAGTGTTTTGCGCAGAATATTGTTATATTTAATAAATTAAAAAATTATTAGATACATACTTCATTAGCAATCAATGACGCTATTTAAATACCTACTTAAATATTCCACTACATAGTAATAAAAATATTCATAGTCTACTCTTCCCCCGCATCGTACGATCAAGTCATATAAAACGCGAGTACGCTCCCCACCTCCAGCAAAACGTCAAATCTCTCAGTAGCGTGCAGTTGTTCGTGCTTGGTGAATTCGAGTTTACTAGTCAGTTCGCGTCGTCTCAGTAATCTCGTTTAAAAATCATTTAGTGACAAATTAAGGCGTGCTTGTTCAGTGATATTTAAGCCATTAAATAACACAAGAAAATGTCTTTCAATACCGATATTTCGTCCAAATTGGAAAGCAGCAGGTACGCAGTGTTGATTTACTAATAAAATGATGCCAGGGATATTGTACTATTCCAATAATGATCCATCCTCGTGAATGCGTAACGCATTCTTATAAATGTATTGTATGGTTGTTGTATGGAAACCTTTTTAACATAATTATTTACTTACATCCGTTGTAATGGAATACAACATTCCTTTCACATTTATGTTTGTTTGCGTCGTTTTCTTTAAAATGATGCAATGTCCATACGTATTAACTACCTCAATATCAGTACACAAATTTTAAAGTTAGTCGTCAAATTCAATCGTTGTCACAATATGGCTATGGCCGTTCTCATATAGAACTTATTTATTGAGGTTATGTTTCTGATGTCTAGACTTGCGCAGTGGGATTTTCCAAGTAATTCATTCTGTTCTTTTTAATAATAATGTATAGAAAATATTATGGAAATTAGAAATCTGCTTTAAGCAAACTATTTTGTTCATTTTATAGTTTTTTCTAAGTCCCTGTACCAGTAACATCATAGTGTTAGATGTTAGTCATTATTTCTTTCAGGTGTTGCATGTAGATAGGTGTGTCATGGTCAGTGTAGGTTATATAGCTGATGTAACTTGCTATTCACTAAAGATTTTTATAAGATTTCTGATTTGAATTATAAATGGCTTTAAAAAAACTTTCGTTATAATTATGTAATATTGTCAAATAACTTAAGTTTATTAGGACTATTAAGTTGCCTTTAAGCACTTAAATGTCTATTGTATTTTACAAATTTTGCTACTAGGCAACAAAAACACCCAATCATAAATTGTTCACATTCAATCATATATTATGATAATAATAATTGGTATTTAATTTCTATAGTAGCTTTTCTTAATCCACTGCTGGGTATAGGTTTTAAAAAATATATTAACTAGCATGCATAGCATAAAATATATGTCCCCTATATGCACCATGCTAAAAAAGTTAGTGATGTGGCATCCATTACCTGGCACTATTTATACTTACTTTAGACTAATACCTGACCCTTTTTCATTATTTAATTAGGTGTACGTACATATGCAATGCATTTGCAAATTGAAAAAAAAAAAGTTAAATCCCTACACCCACAGTTAATATACCTTATCCTTCATTGTCTAATATAATTTCTTCTTTATTGTTACAGAAATACTCTAAGAAAAATTGCCCGCAATGACAATACTGAGTTCTCCAAGCAGAGTATTTTGAATGATATGGAAAAGTTTGTGAAAATGGTAAACACTATGGATGAGACTGTGCTGGTGCCCAGTCGTCTTATGAATCTGCCGCAAGAGGGTGATGACGATCCTTTCAGTCTATTCGCTATGTTAAATGACTTAAAGACTGAGTTGCTGTGGGCTGGGGATGTTGAGGACCATGGCGACAGGGCCAGAAGAGTATCTGACCTGAGTGACACTGAAAGTGATGCCTCTAGTGCAGCTGGTGACTCTGGCATAGAAGGGGAAGATGAACGAGAATCTGCTGCCCGTGCTGCAGCTTCTTGCCGCCGTCATCTACAAGGACTCCGCCACTCCCTTCGCCAACTTACAGCTGCAGCTGCACACCTCACAAGGTCTTATCAAGAAGAGGTGGGCGCACCAGTTTAGGCAACACTTTCAAACCACCTGTGATTGAAGTATGACCTGCACGTTTTGTATATATAGGATAAGCGGCCCGCATTGTACATATAGCTATATAAGGGCTGAGCGTGTTTGGGAATCTCAGTAAGTTATGAGGTTATTTAATAAACTAAATTTTCATAATTTCCTTAGTTTTATTTTGTTCATTTATTACTTGTTCCTTTCATTAAAAAAAATACTTCTCATATTATACTATATTACACAAAATAAAACTAGAGAAGTCTTAAATTAGAAATAGCTCGCACTTCAATTGATTTTTCTATGTAATGTTGGAGAAGAAATCAAATATAAACACTGGTACAAATATCTAATCTTGTACAATTTGCCCTAGATTGAATATTTCTTTTGTAAATGCACAATATAAAGATGAAATTTCAACTTGGGTACTTATTTACATAAGCACTGCTCTTGAAAAAAAACTAGGTTTATAACTTGAAACATAAAACTGCAACAAATAATTTAATTACTAATTAGTTTCGTTCTGCTTGTAATTCTTTACAGAATATATTGTCTAGATAACTGGAAAATGAAATTAATGGAATAATAATAAAAAGAAATATTGACTTAAAATTGGTATAGATTGTCGATTATTATATTTAGGCTAAAATACCTTGTAGTTAAGTATGTACATATGTAAGCTATTAAAACGTCGGCAAGCAGTAAACATCAAGGGAGTGCAACTTCTGTATGTAGTACTATTATTTATTCTGTGCTCATAGTCCGATGGGACGGTAATCCGACATGAACAGAGAGAGCGACCAGGCGCTGGACCTACGGCTTTATGTGCTTTCTGAGGGATGACTAGGGAGGACTTCTGAGGAATAATTCCGGGTCTGAATGTCTGGGCAAAACACCTCAAAACTTGCTATACCATCCATACCACCTGGATGATTGGCGGTTCACCACTGCGATTTAGAAGATGTTTTCTTCCTCGCACAACTTCCTTGTGGAATCTATTACCACCAGCGATTTTTCCGGACCGTTACGAACAGACCTTCAAGAAAAGAGCCTACTCCTTTTTAAAAGGCCAGCAACGCATCTGCAATTCCCCTGGTCCCCCTGGTGTTGCAGTTGTTCATGGGCGGCGGTAGTCACTTACCATCAGGTGAGCCGCATGCTCGTTTGCCCCCTCTCCTATAAAAAAAACTTCCCTGGCCCAGGGCTGCTACTGAGAATTTCTAGACAGAAAAATCCAATGACTGATTTTGGCCGAACCCGGGTTTCGAACCTGGGACCTCGTGATCGGCAATTGCGTTTACGACCACTAGACGAACAAGGCAGTCGCACATATTATACATTTAATATTATTAATATTGACGGCACCGTGGCGCAGTGGAATAGCAATGAGTTGCTGCGTTAAGAGGCGCGGGTTCGAATCCCGCACGGAACAAGTATTTGTATGGCTTACAAATAATTGTTCCGGGTCTGGATATTTGTCCTTGTGAAATTTATGTATTTAAACTGCCCCCACGACACAGGAGAAAATCCTAGTGTGGAGGTAACGTTTTTTAAAAGAATAAAAAGAAAAAGAAGAAACTAAAATATATTATATTTTATTGTATGCATATACCAATTTTTATTTGAAATACTAGGGTTTAGCCACATACAGACACTATGTAACGTCATTGGCTGCAATACCCACTTATGAGTGGATGGCTAGTTCAATTATAGTTTCATGTCTTGTGAAATTATGAAGTGAATTTCTTAAAATTTCTCAATACAACAGATTTTATGTATAATAAGTATGTACCTATAGCATATACTACGATGGTCCTCGAGGTCCTCCTTTAATGATATAATCTTTGTTTTACTAAAGATGAAAACAATGAATTTGATATCATTTTTTAATTTAAAGAGTGGAATTGAAACAAAAAAAACATACAATTACAATTTTATACAAAACCAGTATGCTTATTAGGTACTGTTGTCATAATAATTAGTTTTCTTAATACTTTATTAGGTTTTTCCATAATGTTAAGAATTTGAAATAAAAAAGAAAAAACTTCCTTGTAATAAGGAACTCTAAAAAAATTAAATAACTAATCACCCGCCTCGTGTCATAATTAATAAAATAAACTAGTCTCGATAAAATTATCACTAATAAAGAAGCAAAGATGCAAATTAGATGATAGCGCAGTGTTCAGCGTGCTTTATCGCCAACATCTGTGATTTTGTTTTCTCGACTATTGAAAATAATTTTAATAAATTGTAGTTACAGAATAATATGATAAATCATTTCTAACACGGAAACTGTAGTCAATGCTAAGAATTATGTAAATTGCCTCCAGTTAGGAAAATTATGCGAGTTTAATATTAAAAATTTTGTACAACTGACTTCAATATAAATTATTAAGAACAACTCAAAAACTATTGGTTAGACCTCAAATTTATATGGGGCTACATGAGAAGCACCAGCTTTCAAATAAAAAACGAATCATCGAAATCGGTTCACCCAGTCTTTCCCCCTTTTTGAAGTCTGTAGAAAATTCGATGCGTATCGCTTGCGAAATTGGTTTTTATTACGGAATAGAACGGCAATACTTGAAAGAGAACTTGAAAAGAATCGAAATTTTTATTCTTAGTTTGTATTACAAGGATTTATTTGAATAAAAGTATAAAGAACTAACTACAGTGCAATAAATGTTATTTAGAGAGTTAAATTTAAGGTAAAAGTTACAGCCTAATACGTCCGTCCCAATGTTCGGCTAAGCAAAAAGTCCTTTGATTTCTGATAGGTTTATAGAGCAATTAGTTAGTCCCTCTGCTCCAGTGCGTATTAACAAACTTCACACACATCATCATCATCACCATTACAGCCCTTCACAAGTCCACTGCTGAACATAGGCCTCCCCCAAGGAATGCCACAAAGCACGGTCCTGAGCCACCTGCATCCATCGACTTCCTGCATGTTTTCATTTGTTCTCAAAAACATTTTTGTTACTCAGACTTACTGGCCGGGATCGAACCCGGATCGCTCGTGTTACTCTCGTACTGTGAAATTCACGGCGAGTGTTTAGCTTTCTTTACAAGTGCTGTTAAATTCAACTTATGCTATGTTCACCTAAGGACTTGTGATGGATTGTAATGACGATGATCATTAAGTTGACTCACCACTATATTCGAGTATAAACTCCTAGAAATGTTAAAGTTTACATGGGTAATACTCGAACGTTCTTGCGTGAACTTAACTTGACAGTATGACGAAGCTCAAGTCACTTTCAGCTATGAATAACGTAACGGTAAAGACAATATTTGCCAAAACAGTGACCATGTCCAACGAATCAGTAAGTTGAAGTGCCAAGCCATAAGACGTCCAGGAGAGGATGCATGTAGTAAGCGCCTTCAGCTCATGATCATTTACCTTTAAAAACATTTTAGTATTAGATACTCAGATTCTAACATAAATGCGTCGATTGACGGAGGTGTTTAAGGACCGTGCCTTGTGACCCGGCCTTTAGGATAACCCTATTTAGACTTGAAAGCTGCAATGGTGCTCACGACTTCCGTTTAATAGTAGAGTAGTGGCAAAATATAACAAAAACAAACTTTGTATTTATTAGATTATAATATCACATATAGTGTTCAATATATTTATTCCTGACATCACTGATTTGCATTTGTCCTTGCCATGTCCGTTAGCTCACACCTTTTCCTTGATGAGGTAATCTCCATAATTTTGCGGTCATAAAATTTCGCACCCACAAACATATACGAATATTCTGTATATATACGAGTAGTCTAAGTTGTTTTCGAAGAATCAGAACAATACTCTATTTATTAAGAGCCGTGGTAGCTCAGGGGTAGGCGCTCGCTGTAAATTTCACAGTACGCGAGAACCCGGGTTCAAACCCTGCCAGCACCAATTAAATTGTAAGTTGCAATTTTAAGTGCTGATTTACCACCTGCTCGGCGGTAAAAGAAAACATCGTGAAACCTGCGCCTGAGAAGAAGAAAAAAATATTTCGAAGATATGTGAAGTTCGCCTACACGCATTGGGGCAGCGCGGCGGACATTTCTTTGCCCTAAAAACCCTCTCAGAAATGAGAGGAGGCCTGCGCCCGGGTTTGGGACGTATATAGGCTGTAACTAACTACTTATATCATTCTAAATTCACGTTATTACCCGCACATCACCAGCAGTTCAACGTCTATAGGCTTCTTTTTCTAGGTAAGCACGAGCCGACACCCCCGCACTGACAATCTGTGACATAATCTACAAATAAATAAAATTGAAGTGTTTTTTTTATAGGATAGGGTGATAAACGAGTACACAGTCCACCTGATGGTAAGTGGTTGCTGCGGCCCATAGACATCTACATCTATCCTCTATTACAAATCAAAATGCAGATGCGTTGTCACCCGTGAGGACTAAGATGGAATGCCTCATTTCCAGTAAAAAGGGTCACCGGTTCTCTACACTCACCATACGAAACACAACAGCTTTAAGCTGCTATTTTACGCTGGTATTCTGTGAGAGCGTGGTGCTTCCCCAGTCGAGCCGACCCATTCGTGCTACAACAACTATACTACTAATATAGCTGCAGCATGGCTCTACCACGTATATCGTACCGTACGTCTATACGTCTGTTTGTAATATCAAAATAACAGCTTTTTACTAAATGTATATGAAAGTATATACGATACTCGTAACCTCTCGGTAGAGTAATTGTGTTCTGTGCTTATAACAAAAATTTTTTTTTAATTTTTGTCTGTCTGTTTTTTCCAGCTAATCTCTGAAATGGCTGGACCGATTTTGACGGGACTTTCACTGGTGATAGCTGATTTTATAACGAATAACTTAGGTTACTTTTATTTTAGAAAAGTAATTAAGGTTCCGCGCATAAAAATAAAAACCCATGAAATCCAATCATAATACCAAAACAGCCAGTATGTACATAAGAGCCAGTATATTTTATTTATTACAGGCTGTGAGACATTCCATCTTAGTTTTCAGAGGTGACAACGCAT